GCAGGGTTGGCCATGTGGCACTGCTTCAGATCCCAGGTTTGTTCCACCTTCACGTTTCAGCATCCAGGCTGAAAGGGTGCCTCCCTGGGGCACATCCCTTCCTCCTGGTGAAAGATGGAGGAGCAAGAGCCAAGCTAAATCAAGCATATTTAAAACTTCTTTTCGGGGTGCCTGGGTGGCTCAGTTGGTTAAGTGTCTGACTGTTGATTTTGGCTCAGGTCATGATCTCACAGTTCACGAGTTCAAGCCTTGCGTCGGGCTCTGTGCTGGTAGTGTGGAGCCTGCTTGGGATTCTCTCTTTCTCCCTCCCTCTCTCTGACCCTCCCATGCTTGTGTGCGCGTGCTCTCTCTCTCTCTCTCTCTCTCTCTCTTAAAATAAATAAACTTTTTTAAAAAAATTTTTTTTTAAATATAGAGAACTTTTCAGATTTGGTGTACAACATATTCCCTCACATTCCATTGCCTAAAACAAGTCATCTGACTTTGGCTCATTAGTAAGGTGGAGGAGCACAGATGGTCCCTTCCTCATGGGGGCTCCACCTAATTTTTCCACTTTACTGTGGTGTGAAAAGTATGGTGTGAAACCGTGCTTTGAATTTGATCCTTTCCCAGGTTAGCGATAATGTGGTGCAGCACTCTGTCACAGTGCCTCGGCTCCCGCCGCCACGCCGTCACAGGGTGAACGGCTGCTGCACATAGCAGGCTTTCCCTATGCATACAGCCATTCTGGTTTTCACTTTCAGGACACCACCAATAAATCACATTAGCTGTTAGACACTTGACTGTAAAACAGGCTTCGCGTTAGATGATTTGCCCAGCCGTAGGCTAATGTAAGCGTTCTGAGCATGTTTAAGGTAGGGTAGCCTTAAGCTCTAATGTTCAGTAGGTTAGATATATTAAATGCATTTTCATCTTACGATATTTTCAAGTTAGGAGGTTTTATCGGGACATAATACCACTGTGAAGTCAAGGAAAATGTATATATTGGGTTGGGACGGGGAGAGAGTTACTGGACAATCTGCCATTTTTTAAGGGTTCAGTAGCATTTAGCTTTTCTAGAATGGCAAGGTCCTGAAAATCTAGACTCCGGGTCCCTTTCATTTTTGCTTTTAAAGTGGCCAGTTCTTTCAAATGCGGCCAATGGCCATCAACACACATTATGAAGGTTTTGCTTCCCAATCTCTTCTAGAGCAGGGGTCAGCAAACTTTTTCTGTAAAGACTTGAGAATCTTTTAGCCTTTGCAGATGATAGAGTCTCTCTCACAGCTATTTAGCTCTAACACAAAACAGCTAATAACACAAAAGCAGCTGTATATAGTAGGTAATTGAATGAAGAGAACTGTGTTCTAATAAAACTTTCTTCACAAAAATAGGCCTTAATTTGTTAACCCTTGTTCTAGAGCTTCAGGTTCAGTATACAAGTGCTGTGCCTTCCAAGTTACTGCAAGTGACAGGATCATGAAATGTATTGCTATTATATAATCTGGATCACCTTTCCAACCTCTGATATTAATTTCGCTGCTGCCTGCTGCTCAATCTGCTAAGCCAAGATTCTGTGTCTATAATAGTAACACCCCACTTCTAGTACTAATTTCAGTGTTAAAATAGACTAGTGTAAAAGAAAAACATTGTGTGTTTCCTTTGCTTTTACACTATTGCTGTACTACTTCTGACGCCAAATGTGTGGTAGTTTTTCCCACACCAAACACTTCTCAGATTTTCTGGACACCAGCTGGGTATCTGATAATTTAACTCAATCCTGATACTACCTACCTGGAGATAGCATCAGATCCAACAGGTTAAGGGATCTGGCCCAGAAGTACCCACTGTTCAGATGCCAGTCACAAACCCAGCTTGTTACCTGTGCTTCTGAACTACTGCTATAATTCAGAGGTTTATAAGACCCCTTCCTTGGGTTCAATTAATTTGCTAGAGTGGCTCACAGAACTCAGGGAACTCACCAGTTTATTACAAAGGACATAACTCAGAAACAGCCAGATAGAGAGATGTACTGGGCAAGATTTATTCTCCCAGCACCTCCACATGTTCACCAGCCTGCAAGTTCTCCTTACCAGTCCTTTTTTTTTTTTTTTTTTAATGGAGGCTGCATTACAGGTTATGATTGATTAAATCATTAGCCTTTGAGGTTGAATTTGGTCTTTAGCCTTCTTCTCCCTGGTGATCTGAGTGGGAAATGCTGAGAGTTCTGACCCTCTAATCATTTTGTTGTTGCCCCTGGCAACCAGCCCCCCATCTTTGGAACTTAACAAAAGTCACCTCCTTAACATAAACTCTGGTTTGGTTGAATGGGACTTCTTAGGAATAACAAAAAGTAGGTCTTTCACTTTTAGTGCTCTTTTAGGTAATGCAAGGGTTTTAGGAGCTCTGTGCCAGTAATTGGGACAGAGACCAAATAGATATTCCTTATTTCAAATCGCAGTGGTACAACTAGGCTATGTCATGGTAACAAATAAACCCTGAATTCTCAGGAGCTTAACACAGCTAAGGTTATGGCCCATACTACATATCCAGTGCAGGTCATGGTGGGGTAAGGACATAGGTGCTCAGCAAGCTCGCTTGACAGAGGGTCCACTATCTGGGAGGTACTAATCACCAGAGCCGAGGAAGAGACAACAGGGTGTCGTGCACTGGCCCTTCTGTTCTTTTTTTTTTTTTTTTTTTTTTTTTTTTTTTTTTTTTTTTTTAACGTTTATTTATTTTTGAGACAGAGAGAGACAGAGCATGAACGGGGGAGGGTCAGAGAGAGGGAGACACAGAATCTGAAGCAGGCTCCAGGCTCTGAGCTGTCAGCACAGAGCCCGATGCAGGGCTTGAACTCACAGACCGCGAGATCATGACCTGAGCCGAAGTCAGCCGCTTAACCGACTGAGCCACCCAGGCGCCCCTGGCCCTTCTGTTCTTTGCTCCCACTCACAGCCCATTGACTAGAGCTAATCATGGTTAGGGCTTGTCTGTGAGGAGGCTGAAAAATACTGTGGAGAAGCTGGATTATTAGATTAATCCTACTTCCTCTGCCACAAATTTATGCAAATTTAGTTCTTCTCACGGATAGTTAGCAGTGTTACATCTGTGGAAAGCTGTAAGTTGATACAAGGATGAATTTCAGGTAATAGTCTTTGAAGCATTTTCTTGACAAAACATATTTGTAAAAAAATTATATTTTGCTCTTAATCTTTCCAAAATAAAGTATTTAAGGTTGGCATCTTATTTCTAGGCTAGAGTGTAGTAGTGTAAAGAGCCATTAATCATTAACCATCACAGTAGACACTGAAGTGGTTTCAGTTTTGCAATATGCAATTCTTGAACAGGCTGTATTTGCTGAGATAATGTGTTTTGTAAATAGTACGACATTATATGTACAAAATAGCTGTAATGAAAACTTTCATTTTATATTTCATTAAGCCTGTTGATATCTTTTTTCAATTTGACAAAGCCCTTGGAGTACATATCTTCTAAACCCATTCATGATCGCCTATCAAAATATGCTAAAGACAACATACATGATTTTCTGGATATAGGTGTTACAAAGTGTAAACAGTGTCTTACAGGCCAGCTTTTTTCTTTTGTATTAATCGTTGATATTCAACGTTACGTACTGCATGTCTGTACCCATAATGGAATGTGTTTGTGGGCAGATACATTGAGTTTGCTTTCTTTGGTTTCTTGGTTCATAATAAGATTCATCAGAGCTAACAGACAAAGTGTGTTGGACTTGAAAGTCATGAGTGTTTATGCTGCTGCTGCCTTCCTTTTAATGATCATAGCATAGAATTCCTTAAGGTTGGGCAGGTAGAAAATTCTTCACAAGGACCTTATTTGGTAGCATCAACTGCTAGTATTTTATGGATTAGTGGCACCAAGACAATGGTGTCCTACTTCTATGGGCAGACAACAATTTTATGAACACATTTGTGTGATTTAAAGTGGGAAGCCAGTGATGGAAACACTGGTAATGATCATTTCAGTCCATGGGATGCCTGGGTGGCTCAGTTGGTTGAGCGTCTGACTTCAGCTCAGATCACGATCTCTGGGTTCTTGGGTTCAAGCCCTGCTTTGGGCTCTGTGTGAACAGCTCAGAGCCTGCAGCCTGCTTCGGATTCTGTGTCTTCCTCTTGCTCTGCCCCCTCTACCACTTGTTCTCTCTCTCTCTCTCTCTCTCTCTCTCTCTGTCTCTGTCTCTCAAAAACAAATTTAAAAAAACATTAAAAAAATTTTTTTAAGCTGAAAAAAACTGATAATGACTTAAAAAAAAGATCATTTCAGTCCTTTACAAATGAAAGTCTGCCAATTTGGTTTTTTGTTTTTTTTTTTTTTTAATTTTTTTTAAAGTTTATTTATTTACTTTGACAAAGAGGGGTAGGGGCAGAGAGGAAAGAGAGAATCCCAAGCAGGGTCCGCACTATAGGCACAGAGCCCAGTGTGGGACTTGAACCCATGAATTGTGAGATCATGACCTGAGCCAAAACCAAGAGTCAGACACTTAACTGACAGAGCCACCAAAGCACGCTGAAAATCTGCCAATTTGAAAGGTCTTGGATTGTCAATAGAATGGCCCGTTGACTTATCTATATAAAGCTCATTGTGACTTTAAAATGAGATTTTTAAAAATCTGGTAATTTAGTATACAAATGAGTATAAATGCTTACCTTAACTAATCTCTTTATTTTACTGTAACAGTTCTTACGTGAGCTTTAAAATACCTTTAAAAATTGCTTTTATTGCACTTGATTGAAAATTTCTAGCTAATCATAATTTCCATTGCTAATTTCTGTAATAAGTATGTATTCATAAGTGAAAAATGCCATCAAGCTAATGTCTCACAATTACCTGTTACAAGGAATCTGAGCAGTGATACGGATTGTAATTGAGATAAATTATAACAATTACCATGAATTATTTTACAACTGATCTAACAATTTGTGAACTGTAAAATGTTTGTATATATCACAGCAGCCATTTTTTATTTTTGTATTTTGAAGGACTTAAAGCCCAGTAATATAGTGGTAAAATCAGACTGCACTTTGAAGATTCTTGACTTTGGACTGGCCAGGACTGCAGGAACTAGTTTTATGATGACGCCTTACGTAGTGACTCGCTACTACAGAGCACCTGAGGTCATCCTAGGGATGGGCTACAAAGAAAACGGTCAGCAAACACTATTTACTCAAAATACTGTTACTGGCTTTTGTTTATCAGATTTATTATGTAAATATTTAAGCTGGAAGTGCATAGAGTTAAATGTACCACTGAGGTGTTTATCAGGAGTTTGAAAGTAACTATAAATTTTGTCATAAATGTTTGGAAAAACTTGGGGCCCCTGTTTATTTAAATAGAAGTACATAACAGTCAACACTACAGTTGGATAGTTTGTTGCTATTGCCCCTGAAACAATATATGCCATTTGTTTGCCTGTAACTTGAAAATGAGCATTTCTTTTTTTAAATTTTTTTATGTTTATTCTTGAGAGAGAGAGACAGAGAGAGACAGACAGAGCATAAGCGAGGGAGGGGCAGAGAGAGAGGGAGACACAGAATCCGAAGCAGACTCCAGGCTCCAAGCTGTCAGCGCAGAGCCTGATGCGGGGCTTGAACTCACAAAATGTGAGATCCTGACCTGAGCCGAAGTCGAACGCTTAAACCAAGTCACCCAGGCGCCCAGAAAATGAGCATTTCTAACAGGGACTTAGGAAGTATGTGGTAGATTGACGGTTTGTTTTTAGTAATAATCCTGCTTTGCATTGGTGATATTTGAACATATTTCCAATCCCATGAAACTAAGGTTCTAGCACTTAGTGTAAACTGTAAGAGCTACATTGAGGCCATTCTGCAAAGCTGATGGATAATTAATTAAGGTGGTCTTTGGGGAAAAACAGTGTTTCATCAAAGCCTTGTATCCTGCCTTAAAGAAATAGCATTTTTGTATATGGGTATATTCAATTATATATTTCAACAGTAGAATCAAGATTGAAAATTATCAGGCATGTAGTTCATGCATTTTTAGAAATTTTATACATATATGTACATATATAGAATTTAAGAAGTTTTGTTGGGGGCGCCTGGGTGGCTCACTCGGTTAAGCGTCCGACTTTGGCTCAGGTCATGATCTCACAGCTCGTGGTTCGAGCCCCACTTCCGGCTCTGGTGCTGACAGCTCAGCCTGGAACCTGCTTCAGATTCTGTGTCTCCCTCTCTCTCTCTCTCTCTGCCCCTCATGTTCTGTCTCTCTGTCTCTCAAGAGTGAATAAATGTTAAAAAAAAAAAATTAAAAAAAGAAAGTATTGTTGAATCTCACTCAGATATTTAGGAGATGAATAAATCTGCACAGGATTATTATTAACTTAAACTATAACTTTTAAAATGCAATTTCATCCAAAATACTCCCTAGAAAAGGACCTAGGTGTTTTTTCTATCAAGAAATCTAGAACAGCAAGCAGTTTACTTTGAATCAAGAAACTATATTAATCTTCAAATTTCTTTTTTATAAAAGACTATATTGAATGGAGGGTTTTAGCTTAATTTCCTTTGCTTTTCTGAATTAATTAAAAACAAACACTTTAAACACTTACAATTATTCTTTCCTAAGTAAACATGCTGTTCTGTTTTCTTTACCTAAAATTGTTGTATGCCTTAGAATTTGGTGAGTTGGATTTAATATTAGACTCTTCATTTGAGAGTTGATACTTCAAGTGATCAGCATGAAGATTGCTTTTGCATTTGCTGTAAAACTATTGGTTGTCATGGATATTGTGTCACTCAGTGACCTGTAAATGTGATTTTGGGACATAGCTCCCTACCAGAAATTAACATCAAGAGAAACTATCCTATGAAGAATTGGTATGCTTTCCTGTCTTAGATAAGAACTGTGGAGATCACTTGATTGCCTTTTTTTGCCTCAGGAAATGGAGTTAAATGTAATGCTCACTCATGATAACATTAGCAGCAAAGTTAAACATAAGAACTTCCTTCTTTTAGTGACACCCACCGCCATTTGTTTTAATAACTTTATTTGTCTTTTATTGCAAGCTACCATAAAGCTTTTTGGAAACTGTGATATAATGGAAGATATTTAAACTGCCAAATAGACTAAGCAGTTTGACCCTTTAAAGCTAGTTTTTTGTTTGAATTAGGCTTACTATGTTCTGAGAGACTTCACTAACCCAGACAGTATCTTCCCACGCTTGCAGCTTTTGAAATTTGTTTAAAAATAACGTTTTTCTTAAGGTTATCTATATAAATTATGTCCTGGATCTTTAACTAAAGTTTGCCATTCTCTAAAAATCTATAGGAAAAAGTTATTGTTGTAGATTTTTTCCATAAAATGAAAACCCTGGAAAAAAATTGTTCTTTGAACTGATTTATGAGTATTACTTTTTCCTTTAAAATTCTGTTCTTGAAAGTTTTGAATCATAAGGATTCATATGTATTTATTTCTATTTCTATTTTTATTTTTGAGAGAGAGCGTGTGTGCCCATGCGCACAGGTGTGGGACAGAGAGAGAGGGAGAGTGTCAGCTTGGAGCCCAAGGCAGGGCTTAATCCCTAGATCCCAGGATCCCATGAACTGCAAGATTATGACCTGAGCCCAAATCAAGAGTCAGACGCTCAATTGACTGAGCCACCCAGGCACCCCAAAACTCATATATATTTTAATAAGAAATTTTATTTTTATTTTATTTCTTTATTTTTTTAGTGTTTGTTTAATTTTGAGAGAGAGACAGAGCATGACCAGGGGAGGGGCAGAGAGAGAGAGGGAGACACAGAATCTGAAGCAGGCTCCAGGCTCTGAGCTGTCAGCACAGAGCCTGACGCGGGGCTCGAACCCACGAACCACGAGATCATGACCTGAGCCAAAGTCGGACACTTAACCCACAGAGCCACCCAGGCGCCTCTTAGTATAAAATTTTAGAGAAACTTTAATTCTACAGGATTTCCAAAATTTATTACCAACTTTGTTCCTAAGATTCTGTAATGAGCTGGCAGTCTCTTTATTGAGTGTATTAGAAAGTACAGACTTCTAATTTCATAAGTCTACCAGCATGGGCGCCTCTCCCTAATACTTTTGCCCTTTTCTTCATGCTCTCAAAAAGGGCCTGGAAACTTCAAAAACAAATGCAAGTTTCTAAGGCTTTCTTTTTAAATTGCTCATTCTTCCCCTCTTCTATTAAGCTGCAGCCACCTATTCTCCTTTTTATTTTAATTGAAGTAGAGTTAACATACAATATTATATTAATTTCAAGTGTACAACACAGTGATTCAGTGTTTATATACATTATGAAGTGATTACCACAACAAATTTAGCCATGTACTCTCCTGTTTTTACCAAATTTTCAGACCAAAGATATAAAATGTCAGGGTATATTAGTGAAACAGGTGGAGATTGCCCTTTCTGTGTCTGGCAGATTCTTTTCAGCATTGATTAGAGTTGATAAGAGTCCGTGAGTCATTGAGGGGACTCTGTAGGTAATAAATCTGTAGGAACTTTCATACTGTACCCAGCTAAAACTAACTTAAACCAAAGCAGTTTGGCTATATGGGTTTAAAAAACTTTAGGTGGAGAAAAAACTTTAAGTTTTCTTAATTGATTATTTGCTCATTCTCTAAACACTTGTTCCTTTTGGGATAGTAGGGTAAATGTAACATGGCATTGCCAAGAAGACAAATTACTTCTGATTCAGAATAAGCATAGGATTTCTTTAATACATTTATCCAGTTTGAAATCCAGTTTGAAAATTTCTGAAGAGCTTTCGATTAACTTTTTAACTGTAATTGTTCATAGAAACATTCTTTCTGTGTAAATATTTTAATATACTAGATTATTTCTGCTCATGCTTTTTTCTTTTATTTGACTTAAAGAGAGAGTATAATGCACAGTTGAGCCTCAAAATAGAATCAAAATTTTATTTAAATTTTGCTGCCTCGTGTTCATTTTCAGCCTTATTTGTAAAGTCTGTGTTTTGTTCTGCCTATTTTATAAACAGATTTTTAGAGACAAAATGTATAAGTTTCTTAATTATGTGATTTCTGTGCATAGCTCTCACTTTAAAATTAGATGTGTAGTTAAAAGGCAATACTTCACGTTTGCTTTTGTGAATCAAAGCCTTTTGAAAAATATTTTGTGTTTTAAATTATTCCATTAGCTAAAATTAAAATCACTTTTTTCTTTTTGTGGTGTTTTGCAGTTTTTATATAATGCAGTCATATTATGCTTCTTTGATTTTAATGACCTTTTGCTTTGCTTTTCCTTCTTTTGTGCTGCAAACATATAGTGGATTTATGGTCTGTGGGGTGCATTATGGGAGAAATGGTTTGCCACAAAATCCTCTTTCCAGGAAGGGACTGTATCCTTGTGCTGCTGCAGCAGTTTAATTAGTTAGGTGATGAACTTCCTTGTGTTCTCTAATGAAAATAAACATGGTACATTCATATATATATACATATATATATGGGTTTCGTAAACAGATGTAAAGTTTGTGGCTGTTATAGTTCAAAAATTGTTGAGAAAAGAAGCTGAAATATTTGTAGGCTGCATCTGGCAGTAGGACATACAGTCTCTGCTGGTAGTTAGAGCACATTCACTGTCACTCATTTTTATTTTATACTGCTTTCTATAATTTTAAAGTATACATGGTGTATGTGATTTTTTTTAATGTTTAAATATTTTTTTTTATTTTAACCAAAATCTTTATGTTAATGTCATTGCATTTTGTTTTCAGTTGACATTTGGTCAGTTGGGTGCATCATGGGAGAAATGATCAAAGGTGGTGTTTTGTTCCCAGGTACAGATCGTATCCTTACCTTTGGCCTAAAATGTAGTTTCTAAAGGTCAAAATGTATGATAGCACTTCAGCTTGGTCAGGTATAATGTATTTGTCTCTCCCTAATAATAAAGTATTGTTAAATTACTCTTTCAAAATACCACCTGCTATTTGACATAGACTTTCCTTTCCCTCATTTATTGTTTTGTATGTTAATTCTGACAACTGCTCAAGTTAATTATCCACAATTACTTGCTGGCTTTGAGTTGATTTATTTAACCTAAATCAAAAATCATGGCTTGCATTAAAATTTCTAATAATTGTACACTTGAGTAAGTCTTAGAAGTACCTTAGGACTTAATATGAATTTTAGAATTGTCTGTTGCTTCTGTTCATCCTTTTGTTTTTTACCCCCAACACCTCCTCTTTTGTTAATGTTCTGTGTGTTTCATGTTTTTTGGTTGCTGTCTCATTATTCAACATAACATACTGATATTTTCATCAGATAATTTTAGCAGTGATAGTTTTATATGGTGATGAGTAGATTTGGGTTCATTCTTTTTGTTCATCTGACCACTTTTAGTATTCATATTAACAGTGATCTGTTATGTGTTTATCAGCTAGTGACACTTAGAGTTGTTGTAGGACCGGGGATGGAAAAAGCCATACTCACTGGGTTACAGTAAGAAAAGTTGAGTTAGTGTGTAGAGAAGACTTGGAGTATAAAGACTAGGAGGAAAAAGACCAAGGAATCCTAACCTCACAACTTACCAAAACAGACTCATTTTCTTAAGTTTCAGAGCTTTAAAAACATTTTCATTAACGTAAGGTAAACAAAGAGTGGCAAAAGAAAATGCCACTTTTGTTAGACCCATCATTTTTATTGCTACAGGTTATTTTCTGTCAGTGTAGAAAACTAAAAAAAGTAGGACAGATTATAAGAAATATTTCTTATCCTTCACATTTTCTGATAAGCTGCAAGAAAAGACAGATTTTGTATTCTAGAATTGTGCACAGTTTAAATTCAGATTCCCTGTGAGTAGTAATTGTCATTATTTCTTCAGTCACCTGTCATTTGTATATAGAATTTGTAGGTTTAAGCTTCCATTGTTAAGGTAAAATCAGTATTAGACACACACACACACACACACACTCACACTCACACACAGACAAAGTAAGGTTAACAAAGCTTGTTTATTGATCCTTTCTGTCTGTCTACAGTCATTGCCTTTTACAAGCTGGCTATAAGACAGAAGATATATAACTGCCACATTCTTTCTTAGGGTTTTTTAAATGCCATTTTCTTGTCATTTTAATATAGATATGACTAATGTGTTGAACATTAGATACAGAGTATTTTTCTTAGCTACTTGATATTAGATATTGATCAGTGGAATAAAGTTATTGAACAGCTTGGAACACCATGCCCTGAATTCATGAAGAAACTACAACCAACAGTAAGGACTTACGTTGAAAACAGACCTAAATATGCTGGATATAGCTTTGAGAAACTCTTCCCCGATGTACTTTTCCCAGCTGACTCGGAACACAACAAACTTAAAGGTACTTTTTATAAATACATATATTTAATCCCATTTTGAGTGTGTGTGTGTGTTTGTATGTTTGTGTGTTTATGTTCTTACGGGATATAACCCAGCGTCCTCTCTGGGTAATGGAACAAAGTGAAAGACTTTAGTTACTTTTTTTTTGTAAAATTTTTTTTTGACCATATGTATGACCAGATTTTATAGTAAAATCTGTTCTTTTAAAAAGAACATATACTTTTTGATAAATGATAATGTCAAGTTTCTGAAGTTTATGGTAATTTAAAAACTTTTATGAGGTACATGTACATTAACATCATTATTTTTACAGCCAGTCAGGCAAGGGACTTGTTATCCAAAATGCTGGTAATTGATGCATCTAAAAGGATCTCTGTAGATGAAGCCCTCCAGCATCCATATATCAATGTCTGGTATGATCCTTCTGAAGCAGAAGCTGTAAGTTCTTTTCTTAATGTTTGAAGAATATATTGAATTAGAGTTAGGTTTGGAGGAGACTTTTTAAATTTAAATAAAAGTACAGATAAATGATGATGGTATTTTTCTGTTTTTGCATGAATGGTATCTTAAGTTAATGAGCATCTCCAAGCACTCCTGACACAAAATAAAGCTACATCCCACTGTTTCTTACCTTTTTGCCTTGCCTTTTACATAATGAGCTAGAATGTTGAACACTTTGGGAAAACGTTGTAACTAATTGCAAAACAAATTATTGTGTCCAAAGCATAGCACAATTCTGTAATATAAATAAAATGTGACAATTTCAAAAACTGGAAGAAGAGAAAAAGACAGTTCAACATCTTTTTTTTTTTTTTTGTCATTTTGTTGTCCAAAATTAGTTTCTCTACATAAGAAGGTAGAGATGATGATGTATTTTTGAAAGCCTCTAATACTTCAAATAATTATAAAGAATTTATGTACTCCCAATAAAGCAACTCAATTATTATTGCCCTTGTGTTTTTCAGCCACCACCCAAGATACCTGACAAGCAATTAGATGAAAGGGAACATACAATAGAAGAGTGGAAAGGTAACATTCGCCAAGTTCTTAGAGATGAAGCTGAAAGAGCATCTGAATCTTTATGTTGATTTAATCATGTTAGGAAAATTAAAGATACTTGTTATTCATAACTGATATTTGGTAAGAGGATTATTAATGTTTTTACAGAGGTAGAAATTAAGTCTCCTCCATCCCTGACTTAATCTGAATCTCTCGTGTTTCCTACCCCAGAGAGACACATCAGTGCTTTCTGAAATTTGTATGTTCTTCCATAGTGTACAGATACACAGACTTGTGTTTGCCATCTCCCTCTCTTTCTCTCCCACCCTGTTTTTTTTT